ATTTATATTTGTAATGGTTCATTTTGATTTAATAAATAAACGACACCAACCTGATTGAGAGAAAAAAAAAAAAAAAAAAAAAAAAAAAGAAATGGCAATATTTGTTTTTATAATCAAAATTTTTACAATTATTAAATAAGTATTTATTTAAAAAATTTATTATATTAATATTCATATTTTTTAAAAAAAATTATAGAATTTATTAATTTGTTTTTTTATTTTACTTTTTAAAATCCTTTGTTACTTTTTTTTAAACAATAATAAAATAGAAATTAAAAAGTATATTATAAAATTTTTGTTAAAAATTAAAATATCAAGTTAAATAATAAATAATCAATAAATTAGTTTTAAGTAAAATTATTTTATAGATATTAATGTAGTTAAATTTAAATTTATTATTAATTTTTTAATAATTTTTGCTACATTACAAATAAAAATATAATTGTTATTTTTTTTTCAATATATTATTTATATACAGTATATATAATATATATTTTAAAAATTATTAAAATTATTTTTAATTAAATTTTTAATATTACAAATTTATTTTTAAGATTATATTTAAGTTATTGAATTGCTTTTTTGTTTTGATTTTTGATATATAATATTGTATATTGTATTAATTTATAATATCAAAAATTTTAACTAATATTAAAATAAAAAATTATTTCTATTTTTCAAACAATTAACAAATTCAAAAATTTAAGCTAATGTTAATCAAACCAATTTACTCTTGTTTACAATAATAACAATATAATAAAAATATTATATATTAATATTTTTTACTAGTATTTTCAATTAAACATTTTTTCAATGATTATTTTAATCAAAATATTCTTAACAGTTTTTTTAATCAAATAATTTTATAACTTTCGTCGATTAAAAATTTTTTCTTAAAAGTTTACTATATCATTGACAAATTTATTATATCATAATAGTTATAATTAAATTATATTTTAGTTTGATATGTGAATTATTAATATAATGACAGTAAATATGTTATTTTAATAAACTCTCGTATTTAATGCTTATTTGTAATAAAAAAAACTTTCAAAAAAATTATTTTACAATTTACTATAGTACTTAATAAAATAATTTACAAAAAAAGTATTTATAATATAAAAAAAAAAAATCAAAATTTTTTAAATATAAGAATAATGAAAATAAAAAATCAGTATTTTTTTTTGTTTAATTAATTTTTAAAAAATTTTTAAAAAATTTTTATAAAATTAATTAGTTTGAAAAGCTTTGTACCATTCAAATGTATGTTAGATGGCTGCATAAAATTTTTTTGTATGCAATAGGATCTTGGATTAAAATGATTAATAGCGGGTTAACAATGAGTGTTACTTGAGTCTCAACTGTATGTGTAAATTTTTGGTGTCGTCCCGTATGTAATAGAATCTTATTTTTTGAATACATTATAAAGCTTCTTTTCTGGGATACCAGCTATAGTTTAAACTAGTGCAATGTGAAACTTATATCGGAAAATACATGAATTTTTTGTAATACATACACTGTCGTCCAGTATGTAACAGAATCTTATATTTTGGATACGTACAGGAGAATGCGTAATGGCCTGGTTATTGAGGCCAACTTTTCATCCAAAAATACCAAAAAGTTAAAAAAAAATATGTTAGACAAGCATTACAAAAAGGGTAATATCTATTTAGAAAATGCTAGAAAATATGAGCCCAATGGTCATACTGTATAAAGGAAGCGTTAAATGCTTATCAAAGGGCAATTGAAGAATTCAAGGCTCATGGATTCTCCTTATTTCATGACGTAAAAAGGCACCTGGCCGAAGCTTATTTAGAATGTGGTGACATCTACAAAAGTTTAGGAAAAATGAATAATGCTAATGATTGCTATAAAGAAGCTCAAAAGTATGGGCCGAAATACAGCGAAGCATTAACCAAATCTTCAACATCAACAAAATCCTTGAAAACAGAAAACAACATATAAAAACTCATCTACTGGTTCAAGTGTACCAAAACTGGAGTTTTTTATCCAAGATCCTCTAGTAACAATATACGACTTACATCCAAAGATAAATGACATAAATGATATTAGAAGCATTCAGGTTTTGGCCCATTATCTGCAACCTAATAATCATTCTCAGGAACAAGTGCCACAACTAATACGATTAGCCCGAGAGACTATTGAACTATTTACCCAGAAAAAATTTAAAGATATAGAGATGATCAATGAAATTGTCGCCATGGCATCTATTCCAAATAATGAAATTTATGAAGAATTATTAGAATTAAGTATTCAGGAAATTGAAAATTCAAAATTACAACATTCTAAACATTTGTTTTGCTTAACTCAAGTGATTCAAACATGCCCAACTTAATCATCGGAAAAGTTAGTACCGGAAATTTAGTGGCAATATTAAAAATATTACATCATCGTCTAGATGAACTGCACAAACAAGACAATGAGGATGAGCTCAGTGAATTATTACAAACACTCTGTTCATTATTAGATGCCATGGTGCGGATAGGTGTTAAAGGTATTAATCGTGAGAAGCTGCATCGTCATCATATAAACAGCTTAAAAAGTTAAAAGAAAACCCAAAGTTAGCTTATCATGCTCACTACGCTTTCCAGGCATTGCTGCACATACCAAGTGATGGGAATTTATGGCAAGAAGTTATGCGTCGAACTTTTAGAATTGCTAGTGGATCTATTAGTTTTGTTAATGCGGTTAGAAGTTTAGACCCAAGTAAATTACTGGATACCTTTAAAGATTTCAGTGAAACATTTGAAGGTTTTGATGAGATTGTAAGTCGCATTCGAGAATTAGTCGAAACGGTTCAAACATTAAAAGAAGGAGTAGAAGATATTCGTCAAGGAGTAGGGTTTGAGCAGACAAGCCAATGGTATTTAGCTCTACGATTTATAGATATTTTTATTCAAGAAAATCAGTTGAAGAAACTCGAGCAATTTGTTCGTCAGAGTCATTATAATAAGAACTAATAGGCCTTTGTCAACGCTTAGGACAGCTTGCCTATACACAACGGGATTTGAAAATATAAAAGGGTGCGGTTAAATTTTTAGAGGATCTTCATCAAAACAAAATTCAATGGGGACGACATCCAGAAGTTGAAAATTGTGATTAATAAAGTATTGTCTGGTAAAAATGTATCCAATTCTTCCATATACGGGAAGTCCAAATTATTAATTGAGGCTCGTCTTAGATTATTACAGAATTTAGCGTCAAATTTCGCAGAACCGCTGGCACAGTTAGGAAAAATTAGAAACGAATATTTAGACGAACTTGAAGAAGACAAAGAAATTAAAAACGCATTAGATTTATATGTGCCACCAAAAGGAAAATGGTTCCTAATGCTATGAGCTCTTTTGACTTAAAGGCCGAGGTTGACGCTTTCTTAACTTCAGAAAAAAAGGTTCTGCTGCTCCTGGAGCGGGAAAGTCTATTTTTAACCGTCACCTCGCTCAATGTCTTTGGAAGGAATATTTGTTAGAAGACGAGTTAGATAATAAACTTATCCCTTTATTTATTTCACTTCCAACTATAGATAATCCTAATGAGAAAATATTTCAAAAATATTTAAAAGAAGCAGATTTTTCTGAGGAGGTTATCAAAGATTTGAAACAACACTATAAATTCGTATTTATCTTGGATGGATATCGTCAATCAAATTTTTATGATAACAATAAACTTTATGAGTGGAAGGAAGCAAAAACTATTATTAGTTGTCGGCCGGAGTATTTAAGTTCAAATTATAAATCTAAATTTATACCTCGTGGAAATTATAATTCCTTCCAAGAAATGTGGCTAGCATCTTTTTCTAAAGAGGAGATTCGAGAATATATCAGAAAGTACGTCGAAAAACAAAACGACAAGATATGGGATGCGCAAAAATATGAAGCCGTTTTAAATTGTGTTCCTGATTCAGACCAGTTATTGAGTAATCCATTTATCTTAAAGATTGCTATTCAAGTCGTACCAGACTTGGAGCATGAGAACTCGGCAAAAAATATAACCCGTTTGATCTTATATAATAAGGTTGTGGAAAAATGGTTCGTGCGATCTAAAGACCGTTTAGAACACGTTCAACTAAAGGAAGATGAAATTAAAGCCTTTGAAATATTGAATGTGGGTGGTTTTGCGAGATATTGTATGTGATTTAACAAAGACCTGGCGGTTGAAGTGTTTAATACTAAGGAAGTGATAGTAACGTATTCAGACGCAGATAATAATTCCGATTGGCGTGTTAAATTCTTTGAATATGGAAATCCGGTGACACGTCTTTTACGTTACAACTCTCCTTTTAAGTCGTAATGGTGATCATTATCGATTTATTCACAAATCTTTATTTGAATATTTTGTAGCTCGGGCAATTTATGAAGATGTCAGCGAGAAAGAAAAATCTTTGCCATTCGAGGAAATACTATTATCGCGCGAGCCTGGGATCATTCGCTTTTTATCAGAGTATATAAAAGAAAGTGAATGTTCAAAAGATGCACAAGTCAATAAATTTAAAGATAATCTTTTGAAATTTATTGAGAATTCAAAAGTAAATATACAATTTCAAATCGTTGCAACTAATGCAATTATAGTTCTAAATAAAACCGGGATGGTCTTTGCTGCAGATTACACTCAATTTAAAGGGACAGATTTGAGCAAAGGCTCGGGAAAAGCTGACAATGCAAATGCATGTTATGAATACGATAGATTTCAATTACCTACTATCCAAAAAGATCCTTCAATCCAATATTTAAATATAATCTGCGAGATTAATGGGCAGCAAAAAGAAACGTACCCGGTTTATACGCCAAATGCAATGTAGGATTTAAACAAGCTGAAGTTGATTTATTGAATTCGCTATATTTACATGAAAAAGAAATTTTTGAAATCCTCCCTAAAAATGTGGTTGGAATAGGGACTACATTTGAAAAGGCATACAAAGAACCATCCATTGTTCTTTACGTAAATAAATCACTAGAACCCTCCGATGAAATAACTAGAATGATATTTAAAATATTAAAACGTCCACCAGAAGATGTTGTCATTCGCCAGTTGTCTGAAGAGAATGAATCGGACATAAATGCAGAAAACAACAATAACAAGAATATTATTGTTGCTGATAATAATGACTGTCAAAAGAATAGAAATATTGGGGATAATAATGGCAACGAAGATGACAGAGAAAACGGAAGTAGTTCTAACAAAAAATACGAAAGTAATAGTGATGAGGAGAATCCTATTGAAAGTCGACGAGATAATAACAAGGATGGAAATAAAAAATAATATAATAAAAATAATGAAGACAATGGAAAAGAAGACGGTGGAGACGATGGAGATGGTCCTAATGAAACAAATGGTGTAAATTTAAATGGATTTATCAAAGCGAGCGCTTCCGCAAATATAAAATTCGAGGAGATTATCCAAAAAGTCACAATGCAGTTTATTTTGCGAATGAAGCACCCAGATAATAAAAGTGACAGACTGGATATTATAGTCACTGATATATCCATTTCTGGTGGGAGAATGTTGTCGAGTCAATCAAAACCAATCAAAGTCATAGGAGTCATAGGATATTACCCGATCGAAGTTCAAGTTTCTTTTACTGCCATTTCAAAATTCTTAGAAGACAAAGACAGCAATTTAATTAATTTTGCAAATGAATATACCCCAATTCAAAATATAAGTACACAAACGCATACCAAAACCGTAAAAAAAGGAATAGCGGCAGGTTTAGAGGGCTATACCCCTAAAGCAAACGTAAATTATGATCATTAGGAAATTATTAGTGAGATGAATGTTCCAATTGTCACTATAACAACTGTTGAAAGTGGTGGAACAAGGTTTTTATGGGAACATGCTTTAAATAATAAGGTATTTAATTATATAAAATATTGTTGACTTAAATGTATATTCTTAATGGTTATTTGATAATTAGGAAAAAAAAATTCCCGGATACTCTGCACCAACACATAAAGCTGATTTTGAGTATGAAAAAGTTCTAGCGAAAGAATTTGAAATAAAGATGGAATTAGTTTTGGCGTCAGAATTTAAGAGACGATTTTTAAAATCTCGGGTAAACAAACTTCCAGAAAAGCTGCGATTTTCACTTTCTATAACAATAAAGGAAGATAAAATTCATGAAATATTTAAGGGAAATAGCGAGACAAAATGTACCCATCGGGATCCCTTGAAGGCCAATGAAAGTGAATGGTTTCAAAGATAACTTAGCTCCAAAAAATTTTCCAGGAAAGGATGGAATCATCTATTCGCAAGAAATTGAATAAAATAAAGAATAACAATTTTTTTTTTTGCACTCTTAATATCCTAAAAGAGTTATTTAAAAAAATTTTGGATTATTTTCAACTTTACTTGTTATTTTATTTCTATTTGTAATTTTACTTTTGTAAGGGGTAAAGAAGAAAAGTTCATTCTCACGGACCTTCATGAGATGTGATGTGGGTCAATTGGAACGGCGCAATAGAAGAGTAATACGAGTATAGGAGACATTATGTTTCGAGTACTGTATCATGTAACAAATGGCGATATCACCATCCGTATATGCGAGATCTGATTGATCGAATTAATGATCAATGAAAATAAACATTATGTGATCCTTTCGTATATAATGCAGTAATTTATATTTCTATATTTTTTATTTTTCATGTGTATAATTTATTTTATGTAAGCTAAGAAAAATAACGTAAATGGCCCTTTTAAAAATTAAACTTTTATTTTAAAATGGCGCCCATGGGCGTATCAAAATAACGCACATTTATATATAAAATATAGTAATTAGAAAACCCGTTTGAAACTTTATTACTGTATATAATAAGATATATCATTCAATATAAAAAAATTCATTTACTAAATCCTATTTTCTATTTATTCATAATTATCTATTCTGTCATTTTTTCAAAATCCTTCTTTTCATCAGTTTCATAACCATAACTTGTTTATATCAAATCTTTAAGATCTAATTCATTTATCTTGAAATAGCGCACATACGCGTACTCAAAATAACACGCAGGTATCTGAAATAACACACAGGTGTACGTTATTCCGTGCCTATGTGGTAAAGGTTGGAAGAATTAAAGTTATAAAGATAAACATTGGTAAAATAACAACGCCTCATCATTTACCTTCTATCCTTAATCACCAGTAACATTGGCGACAGACAATCTTTAGTTTATTAAATTTTTACAAAAAATAATAAAGAAAGCATAGATGAAAATTAGAATATTATAATTTCTGTATTACCATATTCAAAAATTTTTCAAGAATCTATTTATATTATTAAATATTATTTTTCTAAATAACTTAAAATTACAAATATAAATTTTTTATTTTTTATTTACTTTTTTTTTTTTTTAATGTTAAGCAAGGCATTTCTCATGATCTTTATTAATAGAGTAATTGCGATGTTACATAATTAATATTAAGATACTAAGATACATCATTATGTATGTCAG